TGTGTGTGTGTGTGTGTGTGTGTGTGTGTGTGTGTGTGTGTGTGTGTGTGTGTGTGTGTGTGTGTGTGTGTGTACATTTTTGCTACATCATGGAGACCATTTTCCAGACAAACACAGCCTTGTGTGGACCCAATACTCCTCATGGGAACCAACGTCCGGTCCCCATGAGTACAAATGCTGATCTCAATGATAGGCTTTTCATATTCATAAACAGAACAGAGAAGGTTATTTGTTGTTTTCACTTTTATTCACTGGTTTGTTCAGCATTAAACTTGTGTGCTTGTGTGAGTGTGTCAAATTCACATGGGCTTAATATAAAAGATGTTTGATTTTATTATGTTGAAAAACAGAAACATTTGGAAACAAAAGACCAGTCAGCAAGACATAAATACTGTACATATACAATGTTCTGAACAGGAAGTAGTTTATGCTGCGTCACAAGACTTTGAGCCATGTTTTTTCATATTGACGTGTCTGTGTATCCAGGACCTTTCTGGCCCCTGGAGCCCCCCGCTGGATCAACATTGATGGCCGGACGATGGGTCTGACTGTGAAAGGCCTGGATCATCCTCACCGATACGTCCTGGAAGCAGCTCAGACACACGTCTTCATGCTCATGAAAAAGGTGCCTTTTGTTCTACATCAAGAACTAGCTAGGACTGGCAGGTTTATCTTTTTTATATTCTTAACTTATTTATGGACATGATTACATGTTCACAGTCTGTGTGGGTGGAAAAACTGTGGCACTAACACGGTCTGTGTTACTTCACCAGTCAACCAACACAAATATTTTATATATTTTTTTATCAACACAGGACACTTTCTTCCGTTACCTCAAGTCACCAACGTACAAAGACATCCAGAAAAAGGCACTGAACCCTGAACCCCATAACTTCAGGTGTGTACAGTTCAGTAAGTTGAAGTTGGAAATGCTGCATCTTATCTGAAAATCCAAATCAGTGCAATTACAAAACAATATTTTATGCCTTCAAAACTCTGTTCTCTTTGGTGTTTTTTATCATCTCAATGCTGAAGATAAAAACCGTGTAGCCTAATATATATTTACAAAGGAAAAGAGAAGAATGCAATGATTTGCAAATTTTATAAACCCATATTTTATACATAATAGAACACAATAGATATTTCAAGTGTTTAAATTCACTTAAATTCAGTTCAAAAATACTTTATAGATCCTAAAGGGAAATTCAATAATTACTAAATTAAGAAATCTGTAAATTAAGAAATTGCCCAATATTTAGGGGAAAATGAAAATATCTGAATTTGATCGCAGCACATCTTAAAAACATGTTTGATGTTTTGGAAGCATATGTTGTTTAAAAACCTGGATTCACTTTTCTGTATTGATGATGTCTTTCCAAATGTGTAAACTGCCCGTGCCATACGCACTAATGGCCTCTCATATCGTCAGAAAGGACAGGCTTTTGTAATGATAAAAATCAGATGAGTCTTTTTAGTACAGAGGATGACAACATTTCTGGATAGTTCTTGGAACAACTTTTTTTTGTGATGTGTTGCTGCCATTAATTTCAAAATTATCTTATTATGGCAAAAAAAACTATATTTTGGGGGGTTAATGTTTGTTAGCAAAATTCTTCTCAAATTACTGAACAGATTTTAATAAAACTCTCAGAAAATAATCACTGTTCATCTACAGCTGTTGAAATAAATCCAAAGCAAGGTGGCCAACACAACTGATCAACATCAGCAAACACCAAAATAGCCACAACTTCATCTGTTTGAGATACTGGTATAAAGTAAAAGGTATCAGCTAACAAACACACAGACAGAATAAGATGAGCCGTGACAGGATCATTCAAAGCAGAATGAATACCAATTAATCACAGTTTAATCGTGGTACATAGATAATTACACAATCAGATTGTCAAAAATAGCCTAGATCGCYAAGTAGAAACAAGAATGTGTAGTGTATTTTAAAAAATCAGTGTTCAAGGACTGGACTGAAAATAATCTGATTACGACCATTTTAAAAATTCATTAGAAAATTTGACACTTGATTGTTGTGGTGTTATGAAATTGCTGTTTTTTTTAATCTTCTCACAAACAGCAGGTGGTTGCAGATGTGTTTTGTAATCTTCCTCTGACCTCTGTTCAGGGACCTCTAACAGTCCCACTTTAAGCCTGTCGTGTCACTGTTTCTATTCCAGCCCAGCCCAGCTGGAGCAAAATGCTCGAAATCGGAGCCCAGGCATTCATCCCATCATCCTCTGGCAACAAGAGGAGGAGGAGAAGACCAAGGCTGCTGCTGCCGCCGTTCCGGTTGATGTCAAAGCTGTGATGAGCAAAATAGACAGGAAAAAGTAGTTTGAACAACAGATAAAGGAGCATAGAAATACTAACAGTGAAAGTTAGACTTAGCTCGCTTTATGTTTGTCACTCTTACAGTTCTCAAGCTGAAGGGCCCTAAAAAGACATAAAATAAACTGAAAGACAACCTTGAGTATAAAAAGTATATTTACAAATGAAGGGATGGATTATAAAGACATGAAACTTTATGGCAAATATGCGATTAACTTGCTGGATTGTGAAAAGGATGTTCAGATGCCAAGATAAGAAAATTATTGTTTCTGTAAACTGTTCTGTTTTAAGCTAATGTTTTAGAAAACAAAATAAAGAAATGCTTACATACTAATGAGTCTGTTACCAACCTCAGACAAATGAATAAATTATGTTATTACGGTCGTGAACCAGAAACCGCAGAGCTGACCATGATGTGGAAAAATGTTATCGAATGCAGTCACTGTCCTGAGTCCAGTTGGTGATTGTTCTTGGCACGTGCACAGGCTGAAAACTCTCCCGGATGAATAAGAAACCATGCTCAGTTAGGACAGTAGCTCCTGGGAATCATAGCTTTGCAGGAACGATTAGGACAGTTCTGGTCGACCTGTGTCCAACAGTCCTTTTAAGGATCATCAGTTTCGTTGCTCAGATCCTTGGATGGAAGACTTCAGTAGCTCAAAATTCAATTAATAAACTTCAACATGACTAAATGCTGATTAATTGTAGCTCCAATATGTACAAAAAGGTGGAAAGTTTGTTGTCATAAAATCCAGTTGTTTCTGGAGCAGCAAAGGTCATCTAGCAAAGCCTTTGTTTTGCTAGATGACTTTCATACAGTTTAAGGTTATATTCATTAGAGTCTAAAAGAAGGAATGCAGAGTAAATTTATCTTCATGTTTGCTGGAAGAGGAAGTAGTGAGGAGGATGAGTGAAGTCTGATTATAAACTCGTCCAACCTACAGTTCTGATCTGTTAAACTGGCCAATGAAAGGCAGACACATTGGGCACCTGCTTTCTCTCACATAAAGTGAAAAAAAATACAAAAGGAAATTAAATGTGAAGGTAAAACATTTCACTCTCACACATTATCAATGAAAATACAAACAAAACAGCATTCACCAAGGGCACCACAAGTGGGGGTGGCCAAGAGGGGCAATGTCCCCATCCCTAAAAAAATGGTGGCCCTGCCAGTTTTATCCATGTGAATCACAAGCTTTTGTTGTGCTCACTTTAACTTCCCTTAGCTATTAGGATTATTAGAACCTTATATATTTTAAAAATAGTTTTAAAAATGCCCATATCCAGCAGTCACTTTGGGACAGACAGGGGGAGTTAAACATACTGATCAAAATCTTAAGACCAGTCAAAAAAGTGCAAGAATTTGCATTTTGCACTATTGGATCTTAACAAGGTTCTAAGTAGAGCTTCACAATGTTAAAAGAAGAAATCAGCGTAAGAGACAAGAACTTTTGAGCAGGGAATTTTCTGAAAACTGCATTTACACTCAAACATGATTTTTTCAGCTGATCAAAAGTTTAAGACCATAGCTAAAAAAAAACCCGAAAACCCCCCAAAACAGAAATCAAAGTGTCAAAAAAAGGACTCAGTAATGAGTAGCTCCACCGTTCTTGTTGATGACTTCAAACAATGGTTTAGGCATGCTTGATGCCAGTGTTTCCAGGAGGCTAGTGGGAACGTTGCTCCAAGTGTTGAAGATGGCTTCATGAAGGSCATCCACTGTCTGGAACTGATGTCCATTTTTGTAAACTTCCCTTGCCATCCATCCCCAAATGTTCTCAGTTGGGTTTAGATCCGGGGAACATGCAGGATGGTCCAAAACAGTGATGTTATTGTCTTGGAAGAACTCCTTTGTCAGGCGGGCATTGTGAACTGCAGCATTGTCCTGTTGAAAAACCCAATCATTACCACACAGACGAGGGCCCTCAGTCATGAGGGATGTCCGCTGCAACATCTCCACATAGCCAGCTGCTGTTTCTCAGGTGGGATCTCCTTGTCATGCCAGTAATGTTGGAAGCCATCAGGAC